TTAAGGAGTAGAGATGATGGATGGATGGATTCAAATCTTGACTTGGCTGGTCCATCAGTTCCAGAACTCCAGATTCCTTTTGCTTGGTCTACAGCAACACCCAGTAATTCTGGATGTTCCACACAGGACCTTCAAACTATCTTGTTCAGGAGCAAAGTGCCAGACTCCACCGAATCCCTTCCCTTAACCTCTAAACATGGTCCTGAAGCTAGAGGGTGTAGGTACTCACCAGACGTTGAGTTTCTTGCCAAACACCTTTATGCTGTTGAGGTGAGTCACAGCTCGGTCCACAGCGTATTCGTCACCCATCTCCACCAAAGCTGTGCCAGGAACGCTCTTCATGAACTTCACCTGCAAATACAACCAACCAGGGGCCTGTTTCTCAAAACTGCCTTGATGCTGTGACGAGCATCAGATCCATCCCAGAGAAGCTCATCAGGTGCTTTCCAAAAGCCAAACACGGTGCTAGCTCCACACTCAGAGGAGGCTGAGATCGTGTTACTGGATCTCAAGCATACAGGGAAACTGAAAACTACAAGACTTGAGTTTGTTTCATTTCTATTGCTGCACTTGGCTTTTGATGTGAAAAGAAGGACGGTGTTGAAGTCAGAGTAAAGAAATAAAACCCGTGGACAACGTGGCCCAGGTTGGCTGTCATAACAGCTCACGTTACCTTCAAAGCTGTCAGGCCGTGTTTTACCCAACAAACCCTAACAAGCCACCACATTTAGAGTTTTGCACAATAACAATGTTACTGCAACGCATCAATCACAAAGGGCAGCTAATGCCTAAATCATTGTTGTTTAATCTGCAGTGAAAAGTTCACAGTTCAGACAGAGATCCTGGATGGAGATGGATGTTGAACCCTGTTGTGCTGCACATCTCATCTCTGAACAGGGACCATTTCCTCATTTACAGTTTTGATCAGGTGGAAGGAAGAATGCCAGTGCTCCCTGGATTTCAACCTCCTGCCTCGTGTCACTAACCCGTAGAATCCAGTGTTTGGTTTGTCCTGATAACAACTGAACTGTTTGTGACTGAATCTGGTGGTGCTTTCTCTGGTGATCTTTTAAAACTCATAAGATATAAATAAGTCAGCTGCTTGACTGTTGCTGCATTTGAGCATGTTTCTGTTCTTGCTTTAAACCACATTCAGACAATCTGCACCTGTCAGCATGAATGTCCTCCATACTGCTGAGGTAAGGGACCAGTGTGTAGCATTTGGGGGAATTTATGAGCAGACATTGAATATAATATTCAGAAGTATGTTTTCGTTAGTGTGTAATCACCAGTAACTCTTCATTTGATTAAATTCTTCGTATCTACACTGAGAACAGGTCCTCGTTCACAAAGCCCGCCATGTTGCACCGCCATGTTTCTACAGACGCCCAGAACAGCCAAACCGAACACTGACTCAAGAGAGGAGCTTTCACATTTTGAACATTGAAGGAAGAGCCAAAGTCGGTGCTAATGAACAGCTGGAAAGGGAGGAAACTTCAGCTAAAATGTGCAACCTCGCCACAAGATGCCACTAAGTCCTACATACAGGTCATTTAAAAGAATGGTCTGTACAGAAGAGTTCTGCGTGTCCTGACCTGGCACACAGGAGAAATCAAAATACCAATGTACTGCTGAAGGCAGCATCTGAATAAATGTTGTCAAAGCCAGAATGGACACACACCTTCTCCACATTGCCATAGAGACAGAAGAGATTGAAGACGCGGCTGCAGTTCATCTTGGCGGGATGGAGGCCGCTCACCATGGCAACGGAGCTGGAGACAGCATGACCCCGGAAGGAGGCAGAGGATGTGGAGCAGGAGGTCTTGTGGAGAAGCAGCGGGTAAGAAATCAAGTCCTGCACCTCCTCACTGCTCCTCCTGTACCTGCTGTTAGCAGGTAGAGGCAGCAGGGGGCAGTGTGGGCCTGCACACAGACACACAAACAATCTGAAAGTCTGAAGGGCTCCCAGTTATCAACAGCTAGAGGAGAGAAGAGACAGACAGACAGCAGGCAGGCAGACACACAGCCAGTACCATAGCCGTTGGATGGATGCTCTCCCAGGATGGCCTGACGCTGCCTCCCCTTCCCCCGCTCTGCAACACACATGTCCACAGAAATATGAGGCAAACACGAGCTGACAGGAAGGTCGTAGCCAGTGGCACTGTTTCCCTCTCACACACAATCCTGCACAGAGTGACTCTTCACTTCATCATCCAGTTTGGCATTGTGACTGTTAACAAGGTCAGACAAAAAGAAGTAGTTCTGAGAGACCAAACCAGCCTCATCCATAATCCCTGTGACCCAACTTTATCCAACGTTACACGAAAACAAGCCTTCACCCCAAAATTTAATGATGTCAAATTTGAGCGTTTGCTTTTTGCTCCCAAAAGGACGTCACGTGACCAAATGGGGCTGTTCAACAAAATGTTCCCACATACAAGAACACACTCTCACAGGTGAAGCATGGCAGTCCGGGTGTTGGGTCTGACCCACATAAGGGCAGGTCTGCACTTCACTGCAGCTTCATCACCTTCATCAACCACCTATGGGTCGCAATTCAGCCTCAGAGGCTCCAGGCAGAGTCCACTGAGCCCCATCCTACTTCACCTTTCAATCAGGTGCTTCATGGNTGGTCTGAAGAGGAACCTCCTGGTTTGGGTTTGGGTTTGAAATCTATCTTCTGTGACTCCAGTCCTGGAACTTCTCAGACGTACTTTGTACAACAATAATAATTTAGAAAGTTTGAGGTAAAATACTGACCTAATTTTGTTGAATTAATTTTAAGCTACTGCATAACATGGAGAAGTGTCTTAAATATTGCTGAGAGAAAAAACAAAACATTTGATCCATCCAAACTTAAATATACTCTCATCAGTAAAGGTGTAGCACAGGTCTCCGTACCGGGCCCCATCTCCTCCAGTTACACCTCTCTGTAAACCTCACTGGGAGTGTGATACCCCAATATTTGTCCATTAGGTTTTAAATATGATGCAGGTGTGAGCTGACCATGTGCAGCTGGTGCTGGCTGAGGGTGGGCGGGCCGTTGTAGAAGTGCAGAACGGCAGCAGGCGGCTGGATGATGTTTCTGCTGTTCTGTGTGCTGCTGAAGCGGTTGTTTCTGGTCAGACTGAAGTCCTGGTAGCTGCTGCTGCCGTCAGCCAACTCAAACACCTGACTGGGAATCACTGCCTGCTGCTTGGACACACTGAGGGATGCATGATGGATGAAGCCATGCAAGCACAACAGAATGGGAGAAAAGCAAACAGGGTGGACAATGAGGGACATGATGTTTGTGTTTGCGCTGCACACGGTGCTCAACGCGGGTCAGTATC